TTCTAGTCTGAAAGGGAAATCGCCGTCGATGTTGCAGCTCACTTCTCCGTTATCCCCTGCGTCTCTGTCACGGACATTGATCAGAGCTACTACTGTGCTCGGGACCGCGTCTTCAGGTATCGTGTTCAATATAGGCAGGAGGGAAAGGGTTGGCGCATTGTCGTTGACGTCTAGTATGTCTATGTGCACTTTGGCGTGCGCACTCAGCCCGCCCCCGTCCTTGCCTTCAACACTCGCTTCATAGTATTTCTCTTCTTCGTAATCTAAGGGACCTGTTATCTTCACGTCCCCTGTCCTGGAGTCCAGAGCAAAGAGCTGGCGAGCACTGTTTGCGATGTCACTGAAGGAGTAGGTAATCTCTGCATTTGTACCTTCGTCGCCGTCCGTAGCTTTCACCTGAAAAGCTAAGGAGCCCTCTGGCAGGTTTTCCAGCAGTCGAACCTTGTAGATCTCTTTGGTGAACACCGGCGGGTTGTCATTTGCGTCGGTCACGTTAATCTTAATCTGGGCGGTCCCGGATCGGACTGGATCCCCGCCATCCACCGCCGTCAGTATCAAATGGTGATTTCTCTGTTTTTCTCGATCTAAGCTTTTCTCCAGTACCAATTCCACGTGTTTCGTCCCATCAGGAGTCTCCCTCACTACAAGGGAGAAGAGCGGGTTGGGGGTAAGTTGGTAATTCTGTAATGAGTTCGCCCCAATGTCGGGATCTCTGCCACTGCTCAGCGGGATCCTGGCCCCAGGAGGCGTGGACTCGATCATTTCTATGGCAATAAATTCTCTGTCAAACTGCGGCGGATTGTCGTTGATATCCTGGATAGTAACGCTTACATGAAATATATTGAAAGGCTTTTCCACGACTGCCTCCAAACTGAGGACACAGGGCGACACAGCCCCGCAGATGCCCTCTCGGTCTATCCTCTCGTTTACCCGCAGATTTGTATTATCTTCCCCGAGAGCGAAGTACTGCTTTTCGTCAGCAGAGACTATCCGCAGCTTGCGTGCCGGCAGGGCCGCCGGGGCCAGCCCCAGGTCCCGCGCCAGCGGCCCCCCCAGCGAGCCTCTGCCCAGCTCCTCGGGGATGGCGTAGCGGATCCGCTCCCCAAGAGCGCGACCCGCCCGGCGGCTGCCCGGCCCTGCGCTGCCGGTCGGACTTCCATTCTCTGCTTTGCTGAAGCGTATTCTGCAGACGATTTTAAATTAGGTTTTCCGAGCAGCTGAATCAGTACCTGAGAGAAATAAATATATGAAATCCCTGTTCCCAGTCGGAGGACGGGCTGAGTCGGGCGGTTCCTGCTCTTCTCTCTGCTCTGCTCCGTGCGCTGCGCGGGCGCCGGGGCCGGGGAGGAGCCGACGGAGGAGCCGGTTCTCCGCCTTGACCAACAGTGACACCCTGAGTCCGTGCCTGAGAACCGCAGCGTCCGATAGGAAGAGAACAGCCCGAAGGTCCTGCTACGCACGTCCTTAAACCGCACTCACACGCGGGTTGGAAGGTACAGATGTTGTCAGTAGCGCGAAACAGAAAACTTGTATCTGTGCTAAAACGGTGCATCCAGCAATTCCCATTGTCTGAATTTCTTACACTTGCAAGTATTCTGCAAGACAAATCCTCCCTCATTGCTCGGAGGATGTGGGGCAGGATCTCTGTCTCTGCCCCACAGTGATCTTACCGGTCTCCAGGGTGAGGGCACGGGTGTGTCCCCTCTGCCATCTCCTCACCACCGTGAGAGAAATGGCAGGACGGGCCGAACGCTGAAGCACTGCTTGTAGATAGTGTTTTCATTTTCGGTAGTTGGGAGATCCCGAACTAGCACTCAGCTTTCCCAGTTTGAACGGTGACCGCTGATGGACGAGCAAAGCCGGCAATCCCAGCCACTGAGAAAACCACAGTGGTCACACCAGACCTACTGGATCCCATCTCTTTCGACATTCAAAACGATACGATACGATAGCATCATCGTATCAGTGCCATGCAACCCGACCCCGAATTTCTTTTGTCTGTGTCTCTGACAAACCACGTCCTCATCTCCCGAGCCGGCCGTTACTGCAGCGGGTCTCAAACCTTAAGAATATTTTCTGGCAAATGTCGACGGCGGTTACTCTTGCTTGAACAAGCCAAGAGAAAACAGGCAGGTCCCGCCCTCATGAAAAGCCGTTGTATCTCACCTGTACATTAAAACTTCGTCTCTCTTACGGTGAAGGAAAAAAAACACCTGAAGGAAGGCTGTATCACCACAGCCCCTTATGTAGAAGACAAGAAACGGTTAGAAAACCCTCCACGCTACCTACGTGGTGGAGCAGCTCTCGCATATACACCAACACTGAGTCTCTGTAGATGCCAATGTGAAGATCTCCTCCCCTTCTCAGTAAGGTGTCATTAGAAGATATATTTTCCTGCTAACTCTGGTCATTCAGCCAGTGGAGGACAATTTATTTTCCTCCAGCTGCACCTATACACAACTTGCCGTAACAAAATAATAACCTATCAGAACGAGAAGTAGATTTGAATTTGTAGTGCGGAGGTAGCAAACATGTGGGCATCTCTATATGAGGTCGCGAGAAGAATGTGGATATTTATATAGGGACGGGGGGACTCTGCTGAAACGTGTCAGGATCAATTCATTACCTCCTATGTAGCAAGAATTGCCTATGACAACACAGACACACGTTTTCATGCATCTTCACACACCGAAACACCCCCGAAATCACTGTTTCCAAGCAGGGATTTATGTCTCCTAGTTCCAGGATTTTCTCTTCTCCCTTGTACCCGAGTCTGCGGGCCACAGCACAGCTAAGTCCCAGGAGGACGCAGCCGAGAACCAGCCCGCATCAGAGAAAGAAACATTTTCTTCCCACATGCGTATCTCATGTGAGTTTGTGTCTGATGGATGGCAGCAGAAAGGAGTAATGACCACAAGGTTACTTCATGTTAAGCATAAGGTTATGTCTCAGATTACATTCCCACCACACACAAAAGCACCAGTCCGAAGTCACAATATTTTGGCAATTTTTTGTGCTGATTTAGGATCAGCACAAAAAAATCTGTGCGGACCTTCACTGGGAACCTTGCACTATGATTGTGGAAGAAGGAAGAAGGAAAGAAAGAAGAAGGGGCAGGCAACTCAAGAAGAGTACAGGGATCTCGTTAGGTCATGCAGAGAGGAAATGAGAAAGGCAAAAGCCCAGGTAGAATGCAATCTGGCAGCTTTTGTTAAAGACAACAAAAAAGTTTTTACAAATACATTAATGACAAGAAGAGAGCCAAAGAGAATCTCCATCCTTTATTGGATGCAGGGGGGAACATTGTCAGCAAGGACGAGGAAAAGGCTGAGGTACTTAATGCCTTCTTTGCCTCAGTCTTTAACAGTCAGACCAGTTATCCTCAGGGTACTCAGCCCCCTGA